AATTAGTTTTAACCTATATATGTTGCAACTTATAATGTTGCAACATATGTTACAACTAATTTTAGCTTATGTTGCAATATTTTGTAAATTTGAAATCAATTGCTGTACCATCTTTAATTATAACTATACATTAAATCAAAATAAATCATTTTAACTATCTGAAATGATTAAAATAATTGAAATATTGAAATAATAAAAATGATTTCATATCACATGATTATTTATATATAAAAAAAATCTAAAAACAAAAATGTATGATTCTAATCTATATTATTTCAATTTTTATGAAAAACTACTATTCAGTTTTTTATGACTAAATATTATTCCAATTTTCATGAAATAATCACTATTTAGCTCTTTATGACTAAACAGATCTAATAAGTTATATTATATCAATTTTTAATTAGCTAATATTGAGATAATTATGATTGAATTATCGGCTAAAATTATAATTCAATAAATTCTACTTTAAATAAAAAGATCTGGATTTTGGAAATATGATTGTGATTATTTTGATATTAGGTAATCCAAAATCAATAATATTTAGCTCATTTAAGGTTGCTTGGCGAAATCAAGAATTTAAACAGACGTCTAAATGGTAAAGGTAAAACTTGGTTAAATTATATTAAAATCTTATTAAAAAATCTGTGAAATTCAGAAAAAGGTAAAACTATATCAAAACTTATTTATAAAAATAACAAAACTATATCAAACACTTAGTAAAAATTTAGCAAAACAAAGGTTTAAACGTTTAATCAAATTTAAAATGAGTTTAGACAAGCAACCTTAAACTCATTGAATTCATCTAATCATAAAGAATCGAATGGTAGTTATTTCATAAAAAACAAAGTAATATTAAATGAAATTGTATATTTTTTGTTATTTTTAGATTTTTTATATATGAAAAATCATATGATATAATATTATTTTAATCATTACTTTCTTTTCAAATTTGACCTTCAAAGTCAAAACATTTTAACTTTTGGGTTTTCATTTTAACTTTGTAAATAATCATAATCATAACAATAATCATATTCACTTTTAAAGAATAAATACTTTAAATACAAAAAAAAAAAGTAACAAGATATATTTTTTTCATTATATAAAAGTAAAAATCAATTAAAAAATGATTGATATAAACTGTAATTATTAAGTTGAATTTATAAATCATATATAAAACCAAATAATGTTAATATTCAAATAATAGTAATCTAAGAATAAATACCTAAAGAAATTATATATAAAAATTCAATAAATTGATATTAATAATCTATTAATAATCTAAAAAGTAAAAATAAAACAAAAATAAATAAAAATTTAATTAGTTAATTTAATATTAATATAATATAATATTATCTCAAGTATAACTTTATAAAAAAGAAAATAAAAATGAAATTTCACCAAAAAAAAAATAATAATATTTTATATTAAAGAGCAATGAACTAGTTAGTCTTTAAAAAGTTTATACTTAAAATGTTAATGTTTAATTAGAATTATAATCATGTCATTGATATCAGAAATATGATACATATAATTTGTATTATTGCACATTATTCAATAGGAAGAAAAATAGGATAATAAAATAAAATAAAATTTCTTCTAAAACAAATTTTCTTAGAAAGTAATATCTGGATAAGTTTTATGTAAAATCTCTCTAAATTTCACGTGAAAATAGTTTTTTCTAGACAGATGTAATTATAGATATAATATATATTATCATTAATCAAAATTATTTCTTTTAGTTATAATATCTTTTAGTTATAATATTTAGCAAAATTTTAGTTAGACTCAAGATTTGATAACAATTTGACTGGTTAAAAACAGTTAAGCTAATTTTTACAAAAATTATAAAAATATTCTAAGAGTAATCATCCTAAAAAAATGATAAAAATTATGCCTAAAGGAATAATATATTCATTCTTAAAGAAATAATAAAATTGTTTCTAAATATTTATCTTTAAAGAAACAATAGAAATCATCCTAAAGGAATAATATATTTATTCTTAAAGAGATAATAGAAATTATTAGAAGTTATCCTAAAAGAATAAAATATTTATTCTAAAGAGATAATAGAAATTGTCATAAAGGAATGATATAATTATTCTTAAAGAAACAATAGAAATTATCCTTAAAGGAATATCTGTTCCTAAAAAAATAATAGAAATCATCTTAAAGGAATTATACATTTATCTCTAAAAAGATTATAGAAATCTTCCTAAAGAAATGATACATTCGTCCCTAAAGAAATAATAGAAATTGTTCAAAGAAATAATACATTTGTCTCTAAAAAAACAATAGAAATTATCCTAAAAAAAACAAACAATTATCCCAAAAAGAATAATACAATTGTCTTTAAAGAGAAGATAGAAATTGTTTTAAAGAAATAATACATTCATCCCTAAATAAATGATGATATTTTTTCATTATTCTAAAAGAATGATTTTGTTATCATTCTTAAGAAATAATCAAATTATGAACAATTTTTATTATTATTCTTAAAGAACAATTAAATTATCATTTCTTTTGAATAATTTATTATTATTCTTAAGAAATAATACATTAAAATAATTTTTTTTATTATTCTTAAGAAATGATCAAAATATAGTTTCTTTTAAACAATTTTATTATCATTTTTAAGAAATGATACATCATCATTCCTTTAGAACAACTTCTTTTATCATTCTTAAGAAACAATTTATCATTATTTCTTTAGAATAATTTTGTTATTATTCTAATCAGATAATATAAAATCTTTAAAATATTTATAACGAATTATTTTAAATGAGTAATAGATAAATTTTTTTTAAGAAGCGATTTTTTGGTTATTTTTTATCTCTCCTTTTTTTTATTATTTGAAATTAAGAATTTTTAACTTTTCTTTATTTTTTTAGGAAACTCTCATTTTGGAATTAAGGTGACTTTTAACTTTTTTTTCTTGTTTTTTTTTTAGGAAAATTTTCTTTTCGAAACTAAGGTAAACCTTTAAAGTAAATAAATCAGAGATAGTTTTTTGGTAATTTTTTAAACAATTTGACAGATACTGATAAGTGGATTTGTTCTTACAAATATTTTTAACAAATTTATGAATTGCAAGCAAGCATTTAATACATATTTCTTTAAAGGACCAGTTTATACAAATTATTTTAAAAAGGTATTTAGATAGTAAAGTCTCCAAGATGATTAGATATTCTAATCATCTTGGAGGCATGACCTTCGGTCGCTTCTAAATTTTTTCCATTTATTTGTGATGATGATATTAATCTATTTATTTAGCTCTTAATTTGCAACAAGACTTTTTGAGCCGGTTGAGAAAAATACACAATATGAATTTGAAGAAACAAATAATCCAAATATTAATCTGGGAATAGATTAGGTGTTGATGCTAAAAAAGAAATTCACAATAAAAGAACTTTTCAAGCAACGTGAGATATAACAAACAATACATTCTAGGTATAATTTGTGAATTTATGAAATTTCTATAGCAATGCATTCAAAAAATATTTTAATGAATGTTCATAATTTTTTTTATAAAAAAATGATGCTTAAAATCTAAATGTTATAAAGCGTTCTGGCCAATTACGTAATCATTTTTTCGGGGATGTAAACACCAAATCACGTGGTTAAAAAATAATACAAAAGCGAATCCGAATCGCGAAGTTCCTACACATTACAACTCACAACATGGCCTCTCATGTGGTAATACTTATTCCTGGAGGAAAAAGACAAACAGTAAAGACAACTCCTGCGATGCCATTGAAGCAGATCGTCAAACTAGTGTGCGATAAACAAGGTTATTCAGATGTAGACAAGTATGGATTAAAGTAAGTAGTCGTTCAGATTGTTAAGACCTAAAATTTACAATCATGAAAATCAAAAAAAAATTTTTTTTTCCTAAATTGATACATTTTAAATATTACATAGACAGAATAAGACTATATTGGATCTTTCTCTTTCTATTCGATTCTCCAATCTTGCTCCTGGTGCAAAACTTGAATTGATTAGAGTAACTACGCCAAAAGGTAAAAAAAAAGAACTTTTTACGCGATATATCATACGGCATTATCTAATTAAATATATCTATACAGTTCATAGCGAGGTTACAATTGCTCTGCAAATGGATGACGGAGGAAGGATCATTGGGAAGTTCCCACCGACAACAAGTTTTTGGGATATATTATTACACTTTGAAAATACATCCCAGGACAGGTGAGTTATTAGGAAACCTTGCTTATTACCAAATAACAAAATCTAATTAGGTTACTTATATTACTTCTAGATCATTGAACCTTACGAAACGAACGGCACAAGCACCTCAAATCAAGAAAACACTTTGGAAAAAAATGGGCGGCAAATCGAATGATAAATTTGTTTACCAACAACCTGTGTGCTTATTATTAAATCAAGAGGTTTGTATTTAAAGTTGAACATTACTTTCATTTAGTTGAATTTCTCATTTTTTTTATAAATTATAGTATGGGACTATTCCATTACTTAAATCAACTACATTACAATCTGCTGGAATTACTTCTGGCAATGCGGCATTACGTATTTTATTTCGACACACCGAATTAAGTCTTGATGATGTTTTGGAGGAAATTAATACCCCAATACAGTCATCGACTTCAACGAATCCAGATAAGGAAAATAAATCAGGAACATTGGTTCAATCAACAATTCCACCAATATCATCCACTTCAAAAGTAGAACAAATTGAAACAACTGATTTGATGAAATCAGCTGAAGGATTGGTTGATCCAGCGAAAACAGTTGAAGGAACGGTTGAATCAACGAAACCAGCTAAAGAAATAGTTGATCCAACGAAGCCAGTTGAAGGAATGGAAGATCTAACGAAGCCAGTTGAAGGAACGGTAGATCTAGCGAAGCCAGTTGAAGGAACGGTTGATCTAATGGAACAAGTTGAAGAAACGATTGATCCAACGAAACAAGTTGAAAAAATTAATCCAATGCAATCAGTTGAAGAGACGATTGATCCAATGGAGACTGAAGAAACAATTGTTCCAATGGAACAAATTGAAGAAACGATGAAACCATCTGAAGAGACGATTTATCCAATGGAAAATATTAACGCTACGATTGATTCACAGATTGAAGAAACAGTTCCACCAATATTATCCACCTCAAAAATGGAACCAATTGATATGCAAATAGAAACTGGGACTACTAAAACAGAAATTGAACCATCCTCTATTATACTATCCAATTCAGAAACGAATACGAACGGATCTGTTAAAGGCCAGTTTTCTAGGGATGTTAAAGTGTTTAATCCTCCACCTGACAATGTAACATTATCAACACAGAGTAAGAGCAAAAAAAGTTTTTTATTTTATTTTTTTATTTAGTGAATAGAAATACTTATTATGGCGTATCATATAGTTGATCTTCCAGATTCTTTCTATGAATTGACTCCTTCAGAATTACAATTTTTATTGGCAAATCAAAGCTCTAAACGAAAAGCCGAAGAGAATGTTGGATTCAAAACGCATTCTATAAGAGAACAAGAAGAAAAGTCAAGGGAACGTAAATATCCGAAGGTAAAATATTTATTACGTTGCCTTCATCACAATTTCACACAGTTAACTTTTTTCTTTAAAAAAATATATATTAGACATTGATTCGAGTAAGATTCCCAGATAGTTTTCAAATTCAAATGGCCTTTTTATCCAAAGAAACAGGTATAATTTACAAATTATATTTTATCATAAAAAAAACAACAAATTAACTAATTAATTTCGTTTTTATAGTTGGACAATTATATGAGTTTGTTAGAGATGCTTTGCGAACTCCACAGCGCGAGTTTTATTTATGTATCCTTTTTATTACGAATGATTTTTAAAATGGCTGATACTTAATTAAATACAAATTGTAAATCTTTAACTTTTTAACTTCAATTCTTTATTAGACACGAGTCCTCCAAAAAATGTACTTTTAGATATGTCTGTATCATTATATCATGCTGAATTGACACCTGCTTCAGTTATATATTTCAGTTGGACAGAAAAAATTTCAGGTGCGATGTTAATATATTTAAATTGGTTTTGTGAAGGTTTTAATTGATGATTTAACTATATGAATATATTTTATTTTATAAGATTCAGAACATATTTTATCAGATGAATATCTTAAACTTAGAGAAGATATTCCGCATCTTACTACCAATTCAACTAATGTTCCTGAAAAATCTGAACAATTCAATGATAAAGGCGCCCATGTGCTATCTGAACCTTCGCGTCAACAAAATCAGGAAGAGTTGGTTCGAGGACAACGATCACACGCTCGTGGAGAAAGTTCATCGAGTCAAAATTCAAAAAAAATTCCGAAATGGTTAACGTTTGGTAATATGAATATTATTTTTTTTCTCTCTTATAAATCATTTTAATTATAATGACTTTAATGAATTTTTTTATAATGTATAGGAAAAAAGAAATAACAAAATCAAGGATTATTACATAATCAAAAGAATATAAAATTAATTTCATTCATTATTGTAATTCTATTTCTGCAATTTAGAATATTACGATATAATAATAATTCAAACATGCATGATAATATTCTTAATATTTGTTGTTAATAAACAAAAGATTAAAATTGCATTATTTATTTATAAAAATGTTGTTTTAAATTGTTTAGATATGGAATTTAAATTATAAACAAACCAACTAACTTACATGCAGGAATAAATCAATAAATCACAGTCCACATGAAGATTATTATAACATATATATTTTTTAATTAAAAAAAAATCTAAATCTGCCAGAGATTATTCATTATTATCATATAAGACCTGCCTCCATTTGCCTTTGAAAATATTTGACAGTTTCACCTATACCCTGTTTTACTGGCCACCTAGGTTTCCATCCAAGAATTTGTTCTGCTCTTGAAATATCCGGTCTTCGTTTTTTAGGATCATCTGTTGGTGCTGGTAAAGACTTGATCTTACAGGAACTATTAACCTCACTACGGATAAGCTCGGCAAATTCACGTATTGTATACTCATCTGGATTACCTAAATTAACAGGTTCCATATAATCTGTATTCATCAATAAAATCATGCCATCTACCAAGTCATGTACGTATTGAAAAGAACGCGTTTGAAGACCATCTCCATAAATGGTGAGCTCCTCTCCTTTAAGAGCCTGCATGATAAAATTACTGACTACGCGACCATCATTTTCATTCATACGAGGACCGAAAGTATTAAAAATACGAGCAACTCTAACATCAACATTGTCTTGATGCATGTAAGCATAAGTTAAGGTCTCTGCAACTCGTTTTCCTTCGTCATAACATGCCCTTGGTCCGATTGGATTGACGTGGCCCCAATAAGTCTCAGCTTGAGGGTGTTCTTCAGGATCACCATACACTTCTACCAGATTTTATATCAATTTCAATGATGAGAAGTTTTCATAAAGTTATATTGCATCACATAATAAACGGAGAACGAGTTGAAATATAAATGTAGAAATTATAATCATAATAATTATACATGCCTGAAGTAGAGGTTAACAAAAATCGAGCTTTAACGCGTTTAGCAAGACCCAACATATTGATCGTGCCCATTACGCTAGTTTTTACAGTTTTAATAGGGTTATATTGATAATGAGGCGGTGATGCAGGACAAGCCAAATGGTAAATTTGATCCACTTCAATTAAAAAAGGATCAACCACGTCATGGCGAATCAACTCGAAGTTGGGATGACTAATCCAGTGGGCAAGATTATTTTTACGACCGGTAAAGAAATTATCAAGTACAATAACTTCATGCCCCATTAACATCAATCTATCAACCAAATGAGATCCAACGAAACCAGCACCTCCAGTTACTAGAATTCGTTTCTTTTCGCCTTGTTGTAACGATTTAACAGGTAGATGTGATCGTGGTTGAAGATATGAAATAGTTCTTGTTGTTGAATCAAATATACGATCATGTGGTTGCTGAGGAAGATATATATGACGTAAAAGTTCAAGTGGGACTATTGATTTAACGGAGGCATGGCCCACTGCTATTATTGTTTTACCGTCCTGTGCAAAGATCTGTTCTGAATTTGTGTCCCAAAACCATTCATTACGTTTTAAAGTCAAATCCTCTTCTGTGTTGTCACGTTCAGTTCTGATGGTTGAATTGATCTTACTATTATTAGGTCCCGTTAAATTCTCGGTAACTTCTAGATTTCTATTTTTACTAGAATTATTGTTGCTATCATTATTAGCAATAGATATAGATATTTCTTCAGATATTATTGTTAAGGGAGAACGATCTACCATTATATTTATATATATACCTATTTTAACCTTCAAATTTTATTAAACTATTCAATAGAAAAGAAAAAAAAAAAAAAAGTTAAAGAAACAACTACTTTTTTTGAACTGATTATGTAAAACACGCTGTACGCTTTATGCATAATTTTATAAAAAATTAAGATTTTAAACATATTTAGAAATTCGCGTTCACATATATATCAAACTTGAATTTATATAATTTCGAAACCTTCTAGATAAGCTAAACTTTATAATAAAAAAATTTAATGTTATTTCATTTAATTTCAGCTTTTATAACCACAGCTATCGTGCTCTTATTTATCTTGTTACTTATATATACGGTAATGTTAGAATAACTTCATTGATTTGATTTTGTTACATTTGTAACATCTTTCTTTTCTCATGTTAGATATGCCTTACTTGGTTTGTTTTATCCCCCACGTTTCAAAGCTACTTTGTATTTCTTCATTGGCTTAATTACCCAAATGGTGATCAATTGGATCAACCTGAATGTTTTGGTTTTCAGGGTTAGCAAAATAAACTCCATTTGAATTGTTTTGTTTGTTCTTCCTATGTTCAAAAGGCATTAATTTTGTCAATACTATCTTCCCTTCAATTAATAGCGTTTTCGACGCGTCATATTTGGGTCAGAACTCGTGATAATGTGAAGCTTGGTATGTCATGATGTATTAGTATAGTCTTTCGAATTACATAAAAGTATTACTTTAAAATTCAAATAATATATATAGGCGGCTGGCATATACTTTCTAGACAAAGTATAAAAAAACTTATACCATCTCTTCGCGCATTCGAGATAGAGAATGGTGACCAATCTGAAGCATTATTTGAACAGAATTTAAAGTCTTCAGAATTGGTCATCCTATATTTCCATGGTCAATTAGGTAATGTTCGGCAGTTGATTTTTAAGGTATTATTGAATTCTAATATCGTTTATTATATATATTCAATTCAGGAAACCGTGGTAAAGAAAATAGAGTTTTAACTTATAAGGTAACTAACATTTACCGATCGGAAACTTTGATAGTTAATTCCGAAACCTATAATGATAATAACCTTTATGCTTTAGGCGCTTCAAATCGCACTTCCAACTGCGGATTTTGTGACAATTGATTATCGAGGGTTTGGGGATTCTGGTAAGTTGGAAATTTTCTTTAGAATAATAAGATAGAATTTGCAGATTCGATTGAAAACATTACTTAATAACAGTTAATTAATTAATACAGAGGGTTTCCCAACCGAAAATGGTCTCCTTATTGATGCGAGAGCAGCTTGGGATTGGATTTTAGAACGTGCCCCTGCTAAAAAGATAATCATATATGGACATTCGTTAGGTAATATACAATTCCGTTAAAGAAATGCAATCAAGATGAAAACCCCTTAACTTATATTAATTATTCAATCAAGGTACTGGGGTTGCGATCCAATTGGCCCGCCAACTTAGTGAAGAAGGTATGGTGCAAATGAGACGTTGTTTCAACTATACGTTATTTATATAGAATTTATTTCAATGCAGGAATTACACCACTTGCATTTATTATTGAATCTCCATTTACATGTATCCCTGAGTTGATCGCTTCTTTTCGAAGATTACCTTTTTTAATGCCCTTCACTAAATACCCGGCTGTCATAGGTAAAGTAATATATTGATATTAGCAATATTTTTTTTTTGTAAAGATTAATAAAATCCTTTTCCCTTTATTTAATTAGAATATTTTAAGGAGAAAGTTGTACATCGATTTAACAATATGGAACATGTAAAGGTATATATATAACAGTTTGGTGCATTGTTTTAAGTTATATGAAATTGATTTATTTACATTTATCCAATATATTTATTGTAACAGCATCTAAATGATATGCCAATATTTATAATTCATTCTCATAAAGATGATGATATACCTTTATCTCATTCGGTTACATTATTTCAAGAGATTATAGATTCCAGACAAATAAAACATCGAAAGATTGAACCAACATTTATGAATTTTGTAAGAGAAGGTACATTATATGCGCAACCTGATGTTAAAACGTGGTATTTGCAAGCATTACATGCTGCACATAATAATGCACACGGATGGGAATTTGTAGGAGAAAAATTACAAGAATTCTTAGAAGCATTCTGTGATTATAAAAAAAATTTTTCATCTAATACTAGTAGTAGTATTAAAAGTAAAAATTTTGTTGAAGATAAATCGTTTGATAGTGAAAATGAAAATAAAGAAAAAAATGACAATGGAGGTGGTAATAGTGCTGTTGAAAAGAAATTTGGAGTTTTAAATGATTAAACTTTTCAATGTAATGAGTAAAATGTACTACTAAATATTTAAATGTTATATAGATCAACCAAATCTATGAATAGAAATTTATTTGTAAGAATAATTTTATAAATGATAATTATTTATTATACCTATTATTAAAAAAAGTTTACTATTATTAAGCAAGTTAATAATTTTGTTTATTATATTTATTAAAATTAATTTAAAATACATTTTTGATATATATATATAAAAAAAAAAATCTATCATAAATTTTGTACAAGATTTTTGGCCAAATAAAACGATGTTTTCTCACATAATTTTTTATTGTAGGTGATTAAACATTATTATTAACAGTGCATATCGAACCTTGAACCCTCATTTCGTTAACCCTTTTTCCCAATTAGGTTGTCTTTTCTTCTTGAGTTGCTTATAGTATTTTTTGCCTCCACTTTGTTTAACCTATAAATATACAATAGTCAATTATTTATAAATTCACAAATTAAAATATAATAGAGATTAATAAGAAAAAAATGGGTTAACCACCTCTTGAATTTCGGAGAACTTTCTCTTAAAATAGCTCTTAGATTTTTCGTCTGCAAGCAATTCATCTGCTATGGTTTGCTTTCGTTCCTTTCGAGGTATTCTAGAAGAAAAGAACTCCGTTGGCCCTTCTTTTATCGTACCAATCTATTAAATAGGCGAAAAAATTGGAATATTATTTCAAATAAATAAGACTACATATTATTATAAGAAAAAAAATTTACCTCGAAATATTTTGGTAGTCCTTTTGTATTATCCTTTTTATAAAATCTTTTTGGATCCAAAACATTCCTTAATTTTATAATTTGAAGATCACGCTTTATCTCGGGAGTGATTTCAGGTTTTTTCATATCAAACCATCCTGGCCCAATTGTTGATTCTCGTAGCTATCATAGGTAAATTAATAATTAATAATATTTTCTTTTTTTTTTTTCGCTCGAAAATGAAAATTATTAAGGAAATTTTCGAATTAAATCAGTGTAACTATGACTATTTATAAAAATCTAACATTACAGAATGAAACTTCAACACGAAGTCATTTAACTGCTCTAGAATTATTAGAATTGTCATCATTTTCAATTCTTTTAATTTTCACATTATTTCCGATTTTCCTCAACATACCTTTTGTCTTTCTTTTTTACTAAGCTTTGCACATATGTCTTGATCATCATCGAAAGTCATGGAAGATGATATAGTTTTCTTGGAATTCATTTGATTCTTCTGTGACGAATTATCATGAAGAAAAATTTCATCTTGTCGAAGTTTAACAATACCACTAGGATGTTTCCTTATATACAATTGTTCATCAATTGAAATACCGACATTCAAACTTGGGAAACTACAAAAACATAATAAATTTTAGTTTTGCAATTGTTATCCGACAATTTAAAAGAAAAAATTACCTAAATTTATCCCGCATTTCTTTATTTATTCTAATATATTTTACATATATATATATATATATATATCGAAAAATGGTTAATCATGAAAAAATTAATACCAATAATACAATTCAAACGACATTCACTTTTTATTTATTATACTTTGATTTGTTTGTAAAGACTCTTCAGCCTTTTTTAATAACAAATCTAACTCCTCATCGTTCTCGCTGCTGTCTTCGACGTTTTCTAGACCATCGGTCATAGCATTGTTATGAACTTGTTGTCCAACGTCTTTTGTATCATTTTTATTACATTCACCCGATCTTTCCAGTGCCTGTTGTTGTGCTTCATCCATACTTTTCTTTTGTTCCAGTTCTTGAGGTTGTTCTTGGTTCTCAGGAGAAAGCACTTCAAACCGTTCTAGAATTTCGTTGGTTGTTGAAGTAATAGCTGCTAGAGCTTGTGAACGTGTCTTGAAATAAAAAAAAATTATATTTGAAATGTAACGTTGTCACATGATAACGTAAAAATTTTCACCCGGCATTACGGTATTAAGAAATTAACCATGCGACTAATAGGATTTTTTGTGAAAGTATGGGTCAAATTGAAATTCTCTCAAAAACTTGGTTAAAGGGAGGGAATCTTGGTCATAGATACCAAACAAATCTTTTGAACACTCATTTGGTAGCACAAAGGATTTTTCAGATTTTCTCTTAATAATATGGTACAATAAAGGATAACAAATTATATATCATACAAAGTTTCCTTTATTATCTTTACTTGATCCGAATGGCAACATCGTTAGATAAATAAAAACTTTAATAAATCAAAAAGTAATGATATAAAATTAGTTGTACAGAATCTTTATGCATCATAAATAATAAAGTTTTAGACTACACATATTTTCATATGAGAGACCTCGATGATCGAAGCTAAAATTAAATCATCGCCCATTGATTGGCTTACTCTACTACCTTTTTTTTTTTGATTAAATTAAACTCGATTAAACTTGTTTGTTATTTTGTAATTGTTCAATATAATGATTACCTTTTTTGATTTGTGATGGTGTTTAAAAATTTTACCATACTTGAATCATGAATTTTTTATATTTATATGACCAATGATGACCGATGTCCAACAAAATAAAAACAAACTTTAATATTGCTTTTATTGTTGTGAACCGTTTTTTTTTTTTTTTTTTCACGAAAAAAATAAAATAACAAAAATTACAAATAATGAGTAACGATTCCTCTTCCTCTTCTTTAAACCCCCTTAGCGAACCGGAGGAAATTCACAAAATTGTTCTATCATATGTACGTCGCCTTGAAAAGGTTACAAAGAACATCCCAGGCCGGAATCCAAATGATATATTTATAACAAACGACCAAAGGGTTTATATGAATGAAATCGCAAAAGCTGATCCGAGTTTACTTGACGTTACAATCCGTCGTTTTATTATGCAAAACAAGATTAATGAAACTTCCAAAAACATAATACAATTACGTGAGATCCTTACGGAAGAATTAATCAGGGTTACTGTCAACATACCAGGATATAGTGATGAAGATGAAGAATGGGAATGTTCGCTTAGTCAAGCTGGTGAAACCTTTCTACCTTCACCTTCACCTTCACCTTCATTATCCTTATCAAGAACTTCTACTTTTGATGATCCTTGGATTACGCAAAACCATTCAACAACAAAGATGCCGGAAGAATTTGAACAATATGTTAAAGGAATTGCATTTTTGGATAGACATGAAATTATTCGAATACTTAAACCTTTTGGGCCAATTGAACCCTCATATATTCTTTGGAACAAGATTCAAGTTAGATCTGGTGTAGAAATACATAAAATTTTACGTGAAGCTTGCAGGAATTACTTTTCAAAGCTTTCAAATGTGAACATTTACCTTGAAATGGCAAAATTAATGAATCGAAGTCTCGCAAATATTTGGTCTTTGAGCTTAAAAGAATTTCCAACAACTGGACCCAGACTTCACGTTCTATATTCAGGGAATGTGTCACTCAAAGAGAACAAGTTGTGCTTAACATTAAATCCACCAAAAATTGGTGGCTCCAAAAGGTATTACAGATTATTGTCATCTGAAAGATTCCTTCATTTGAAGGTTAATGACATTGAAAACTTGAGTGATGAACAAAAAACAAGCTTGAAACGACTCTTGTTATTCCCTCTATCATTAGCAGGAAGAGTGTATGAATTTTTATATGCAAAATCTGATACTTTGTATTATTTTGCAACGAGTGGGTCAAACCTTCCTGACCTTTCAATTTGGCAAGTGATTAATTGTAACTTACCAATGGAGTTAAATAAAGACATGACAGTAACCAAGTTCTATTCTCGGATATCCTTAGGATTTTCCAATACTACTGCGTCAATTATTTTTGAACCAAAAGAAATTCGATATGTTGAAGATATTATAATCGAAGGGCATTGTTTTACAGATGGTTGTGCTGCTATATCTTTGGCCGCTATGAAGGAAGTTGGTGAAATTTTGGGATGTCAAGAAACCCCTTCCGCAATTCAAGGAAGAATCGGAGGAGCAAAAGGTGTTTGGTACATTGATCCACGCAAGAACTTTAGTAAAGACAAGTGGATCGAGATACGTGAATCTCAAATGAAATATAAACATCATTTAGATCATGAATTCGATCATTTACGAACTTTAGAGGTTTGTCATGTTGCTAGTTCTCCAACGTTCCCTGGTACTTTAAATAGTCAGTTTATTAGAGTTTTATACAATGGTGGCGTTCCCGTTGAGGTTTTTCTTGCAAAAATGAGAGATTACGTTGAAAAAATAAAATCCGATGTTATCGGTTGTGATGACCCACGTACATTAATTTCATGGGTTACTGATAACTCCTGTATCATGAAAAAGAGACTGGAGGTTTTGAACGGTCATTTCAAGGAAATATTTTCAGAAGATGATGATTTCTCGTTTGGATCTGATGTATATTCTATGTCAGGATTTCCGGATAGTCCATCTGAACAATGCATTCAGATGTTACAAGCAGGATTCACCCCTTCGACATGCCCTTTTTTGGCGAAAAAATTAAAATCCGTGCTTTCCTCAAAATTAAAGTCACTCTCCACCAAATATCGAATAGACATTCCTTTGTCTCGTGTCTTAATGTGTATTGCTGATCCGACGAAAACTTTGAAACCGGGTGAAGTTTTTATTCAATTAGATAGCGATGCGGGACGTGATAAATACACCGGATTGCTATTTGGGATTATTGAAGATGAAGTAATCCTGGCAAGGAATCCATCTTGCTTACCTTCCGATCTCGTAAGAGTCAAAGCAGTCAAAAATATGCACCTGTGCAATTACTTTAACGTAGTCATATTTCCTGTAAACGTTGCTTCAAAGGGTGACTTTTCATTAGCAAGCTATATAAGTGGAGGAGATTATGACGGTGATAAGGTAATTTATTTTTTTGTTAAAAAAGATATTTTGTTTTATTTTTATCTTTCTCACAATTTTTAATTTATAGATTTTCTGCTGTTGGGATCCTCAAATCGTCAAACCTTATAAGAATTCTCCACTTTTACCGATTGATCCGAGAGTTAAAAGTGCATTTGACGAAAGCAATCAAACAATCGATGAGCTTTCATCTACAAAGTCGAGTCAAATCGAATTCAAATTACAGGGAATTATTTTAGACAATTACTTTAAGGACTTGGAAATGCCACGTGGTCTATATGATTATTGGCATCGACTTCAATCCTCCGAATACGGAATTTCCAATGAGCATTCAATTTACCTCGCTCAAATGTGCGCACAACTTCTCGATGCTACTAAACAAGGTCTCACTATTAAACAAAGTGTTCAACAAAGAGATAGTGAGATGTTTAAAAAACTTAGCATTCCTCATTGGATGGGAAGTAAAAGTCGATCTCAATCGAAACGACAAGAAAGCAATGGAAATAGCTTTGGAGTTCGAGACGTAATGGATTTATTATGCGTTTCAATTGAAAATGAGATGAGTTTGGTTAACGATAAGGGTTTCTCAATAATTGAAATAAAATCAGAGCCAGATGCACATATCTATAATTTCTGGTATAATGAATTAATTCGTGCAAGACAAATGGAAGACGATTTATATCTAGAGGATCTTAATTCGATTTCAACGTATGCACTACAAATAGTGCAGCATTACAATAGAAAGTATGCCAGGACTTTTGAAGATCGGGATCGAAAAGAAAGCGAACAACCTTCAACGTCAAAACATCAATCAATGTTTTCAAATTCATCTAGTTTGAATGAAGAGTTTAGAAGTATAGATCATGAATGCTTAACAAAATTTTTAACTACACCACCGGTTGAGAAATACAAGAGCGATATTTTTAAATTTTTGAAAAGTAGACGATCTGATATTGTTGAAAGTGAATTTGATCCACTTTCCATATTCGAGCTACAATTGAAAGCTGCCTCATTATACCTTTCTTCTGTAAATAAAAAACCAGATGGACAAGTTAGTTGGGTAATTGCATTTCGGATTTTATGCAACATTAAATCACAAATGTTAGAAAATGAAAAACATTTGTTTGTTGGAGGACCAAGATCAATAATTGATGGCGTTTGGCAAGCCTTGAGAATTGATAAAAAATGGTTAAAATATAAGGATAATGAATCCAACTAATCAATGTATATTATAATTTTATAGATTAATGATCAAATTTTTTTTTTTCCCTAATTCTCATTAGTTTATTTTCTTCTAGAATTAATCGTACTATATTATCGTTTGTTAATTTTAAATAGGGAGAAATTATATAAATAAACCATGACATTTGTCAATTTCCGAATGTATTTGGATCCGAACCAATTTTTTTTTTTAAAAAAAAAAAAGGAAATCAACCCGAAAACCAGGTTTTAAAGGTTCCAGGAATCCGGTTAATTAATTATTGATAAAATTTGTACATATAAAAGTGCATAATTTATCTTTTTAACGTTAACGCTTTGGTTTTTTTTGCTACCTTTTTTTTTTCCTTTATAGGTTACTCATCAACTCAAAAAATCCACTTTTTATCCTTTAGTAAATGGACATTTGTATTGTGTACCGTCCGATTTCAATTGATTTAAAATTACTAAAAAAAAAAAGATGCGAAACAAATTTATCAATGTGTTTGTTACCTTCGGGTAAAAAAAGATAAGATATTTACTTTAGAGAAAAGTAGGTGAGAACCGAAAAATTCAAGACCTTAATAATTAATGTGCGTTATAATATTGATATTTCTTACTATTTCACATATCTAATATTTTATTAGTCTAATTTAGAGTGAGAAGGTTGTTTTCGGATGATATGCCGTATACCGTTAACAGGTTTTCCAACAATAACCGTCGTCTTTAGCTATTTGTTGAAGCATGTTATATTTAAGCCTTTATAATTATTATTCTCCAACAAAGATTTTAAGTGACTTCGCTGCCTCTTAATGATGTTAATATCTTCTTTTTGATCTCTATAAAAACGGGATAAAAAGCAACCAATCTAAAGCAAGCTAAGAAGCTTTATTTGGTGTAAATGTTTAGGATTTATTGTTTCAATAG